GCTCATAACTCTGCTACATAAAAGCGGTAGCAGGTCCTCGGTGGAGAACTATCGGGGCACAGCTAAGCTTTCTGCAATTCCTAAATTATTTGAAGCAATTACAGTATTTCCCACTTAATTGTTCCCCGGTTAATTGATTTCCTCGCTTATTTGAATTACCTTATCGGTAAAAAAATATTGCATAAAAAATCCATGTAAATCTTCGCGTATAATTGAATCCGGTTAATTGGCTTCCCCGTATAATTGGTTAAAAACATGTGGCATTGAAAAGAGATATACCTTCAATTTTCCCGGAGCTTCTGTAATTGAACGAACTCCCCCCGGTTAATTGAACCAAAAATTGTCCAATTTTTGAAGTGCAATTAAGCGGGCGATACTTTATTACAAATCAGTTGACGCATTCTATCTTCTCTAACATTTCATACTGTTAATATGAGTTATGCAAAGGCAAATCAACTTCAACAAATTCACTTGAGTTCACACCCTATATCTCTAAATCGTTTAGTGAAAAGAAAAAATGTGGATGTTACATATACCGACTTCAGTAAAGCATTTGACTAAGTACATCCTGCCTTTCGTGACTCGGCGCAAAAATTGAAAATAATTGTTCCGTACGTCATGCGGACTGCGCCCCTCGTGCGGATGGGTGGCAGGAGGAGGGTGAGATTATTATTATTATTTAGTGTTCGCGTAAACAGACTAAAGTAAGATACCAGCTAACGTCAATGCAAAACTACTGTTATACCTGTTTTTGTATTAATTGGGATGAATCTGTACGATCCACAAACAGTTATATATACCGATCTGAATTTTGAGTTAGCTCACTTTAGATCGCTTCTCTTATCAAATGTTATTCGATTGAGTCCAAATTTTTACCGTAAAACTTTTAGATGAAGATGACAATTTATTTTGGGTGGCGCTATACTAAAGTTCCCTTTGAGAAAAATATTTATACAAATAAGTACGCCTCCAGTGAATACTCATGGGTATCTATGTACATACATACATATGTATCACACAAGAATTTCAAAATATCTAGTATTAATTCAAAATTCTCCATTTGACAGAAAATGCAAAAAAACTTTCTCGAGCCCATGTTAATCATTTGGAAAAAAAGATATTATGTATGTGTCTATTATGCAGCATTTGCACTTGCTTTAATCTAAATATGTACATGACCTATGATTATTTGTCGTTTATAATTCTAGAACTGATAAATTTTTCAGTAGATAATATTCACTTTTTAAAATCGTGTGCGATATGTAAGGTGGATACCCATAAAATTAAGCATTCTGAAATAAGAAAATAATAATAATTAGATTATACAAAAACACTTATGTACAAATGGAGAATTTTTCGTCCCTTTAATTTCTACGTTCCCCACATATTTAGGCAGCGCATTACAAAAACCATTATAAAAATTAAACGAAATACCGATATTTTTTAACTTGTCTTATCCTTTGCAACCTTATCCAATCAGTTTCAAAAGATCTCAAAAAAGAGTTCTAAACGTCTTCAACCGCCGCGACGCTTTGTTAGTTTTATGAGCAACACTGTATTTTTATTATTAATAATCACTACGTTTTTTTTTTTTACTAATTTTTACACGCACCCGTGTATGTACAATTCGATTGCTAGGTAACTCCGCAGTCACCCGAATTCATTCCAACTCGCATAAACGCGTCACCAAATTTCTATACACCTTATCATACGCCTATGCTGAATAATGGTCTAGGCAATGCTGGTGTCAACGTAGCAGGTGGCGTTAGGCCCTCGGCCGCTAAATCGGTAAGTGGTACTCCCTCGTCTTTGCTTGGTCTGCAGAAAGCCACTGCTGCCGCGGTAGCTCAGCAGAAGCAGCTACAACAACAGCAGCAGCAGCAGCAGCAACAACATCACCATCAACAACAACAATCACAACAACAACAGCAGCAGACGCAGTCGTCGCGCGCCCTGGTGAACGGTGTTTTACCGACGACCCAGCAGCCGACTGGCACACAAGCATACGTCAACATGACGACACCACTGAAAGTGCGCAGCAATATGCTTCGAAACGAATCACCCACTACCCATGGAGTTGGAGTTGGAGGTGGGAGTGTGGGTGGTGGTGGTGGTGGCGGTGGTGGTGAAAAGTCTCCTCCGCGCATCACACCTCGCACCTCACCCATCCCAACAACGCTACCGGCGAGCGTACATCAGGTTTGTATATTGCACTGTTAGGTAAAAGGAGAGAGAGACCTTTGTTGTATGCTCATTTGATTTGTTTTACTTGTAGGAAAATGTAGGTGGCACGATATACTTCTATCCAACTGCCAATCATACAGCCGCCGCAAATAACAGTGCCGTGGTGAGTAATGTGGCTGATCCTGTGAGCGCCCATCGTGCCGCACCGTCGGCGGTAGCGCCAATACCACCTGTGCAACCGCCATTGCTATACACGGGTCATCATGTGTATCCAGGTCCGGCTTCCAACTTGATTGCATTACAACCGAAAACACACTTGGAATCTGCCTTCTTCCTGCCTGATGAGATACGTTCAGAAATTCTTGCCCGCAATGAGATCTCGAATTTAATGCTCGACCCAGCCGAAGCGACGCAACATGCGCTTCCTCCGGAAGTGGATAACTATCACTCATTATACCCATTGGAGCCAGTACAGGCGTTGCACGGCAAACTCACAATACTTGCATCTACCTATAAGGCCACACATAGCACCACGGGCATTAAATACTGCTTGCGGAGATTACATGGTCAGTATATACATACATACATACTAGGGATCTTAGGAATTATTGCATTCGCATTATTTTTAACATTCGTATCAAATGGTGCGAATGATTCGCTAATGCGAATGTATACATGATGTTGTTGAATTGCCTCTAAGGGCCGTTTGCTTGCACCGCGTCTAGTTAACACCAACTGGAGATACATCCTTCAGTTATGTACATCGGTTGCTTTATAGATCACATGTTATATTTATGCATGATATTTAACTGGGAGTTACTCGCACATTGGAGTAAAAATATGGGTTTTTTTTTTAGCAATTTAGACAAAAATTTTAATAACGCAGTGAAAAATATTAAGAATTTTTTCCTTCTGGAATAATGCGAGTACGGTATAGATAATACAAATGCAAAAGAGTTCAAATTCTGATTTTCAAATCATTTGACTGTCAATATTCTTACACTATTTGAAGTGCCCTAAAAATCCTATTTCGGTAGAAATTTCAATCAATAATGAAATAACAGTGAGAATTATTTTTTTGTTTTAAATTACTGTTTAGCAGTGTTGCCAGCTTTCTGGCTAGATTTTTTTTTAGTCGTTTGCTATTTGCCTTATTTTCTTAAAATTCTAATATATAAGTTTCCATTTTTTATAAATTAAGCGACCCAGAATCTATTAGAAATTGCTACTAGGAGAAAATTTCCATGTCTGAATGTGTCATATAAAATTTAAAGATAATTTTTTCTAATCCAAAAAGTCTTAAAATACTGGGCCGATATCGATGATTTTTATTTTGAGCGAATATATTTTTTACAAAGAAGGCGAGTTTTCTTCCTAAAGTTATTATATTGTTATGAATGTCTTAATTTAAGTGTGAAGTCTTATTCGATATACAGGTGTCTTCCCAGAGAGCGCATATTCGAATCCGCCTTAACCCTCTACGACTGATGTGGTAATGTGATAGACACCGAAAGCTCGACATTTTTCCCGAGCTTCAATAGCATTGCTTACTAAAAACGCCTATTTTTCGAAAAATAGTTTGTTTATGTAACTATTTCATTAATAAGTATTAATAATATTGATAGAATTTCCAGTTAAAATGGAAAAAAAGTTTATTAATAAATATCTAACATACATATATGTATGTTCATATATTTTCATCTAGAAAGCTGGTGTCAGTACAATAGCGAAATTTTAGTCACGTCACTAGCAGAGGGTTAATTACAAAACAATATTGTTGCCCACACAAAAAGGTTCAAGGGAAAAAGGGATATTTTAAAGCACCATATGTGTACATATGTATATGTAGGCGGCCACTGTGGTATAGTGGTTATCATTGCGCGCTACCATTCCGCAGGGCCTGGGTTCAAGCCCGGTTCAACCCAATATCAAAAAATAAAAAAACAAAAACGGTCACCCTCGGCAAGCAATGGCAAACCGCCAAGCAAAAAACAGCGTCTCATAAAAATACAATTCGCCGGTCGGAGTCGGCGTAAAACTGTAGGTCGCCCCCTTGTGCGCACGCCACAAATCGGAGGAGAGGCTCGGCCAAATACCACAGTATATACAGTAATAAACCTTTTCGCAGTTTTTCACCAATTGGTCCCCGAGGAGTACTTTTGGGTTGTGTGCAGCGTTTTCGGTTTTCTCGCACGGGGCAACACTTACTGTGGGGAATTTCGCCTCATGATTAGACAAAGTTCTTTTCGAATTTTAACCTAATTTCCATTGATAACCATCGGTTAGTAATTCATTTAATTATTAAATAATTTCAGTTTAGCCCTTTAAACTGGGGCAACACAAAAATGTTCAAAACAAAAGCATCAAAAATGTTCTAAATTGTCAAACAAAGTATTTCTAGAAGCTCTTTCCTGTGACATCTATCGTTAATATTTCATAAAAAAAATCGTTCAATTAGACTCCTCACATAGGTGACAACCCTATTCAAAATATTTTCAAACTACTACCTTCTTAAACCTCTTTTGTATGACACCCATATAGCGATACCTTATTCGCTTACTAAATTCTTTTAATTAAAATTGATTTACATTTTTTTTAACATGTGGCAACCCTCCCATACGTAGTTAAGTTATAAAGCCTTTTCAAAACCATTTCGATTGATACCCATAATTAATAATTGATTTAACTTTTTAATAAATATGAGCTTAATTTCTTAACAGGTGGCAACTTTTTTTTTCGAAAAAGTAAAACCTTCTTGAACATCCATACCTAATGTGACCAACTATTTCATAGCTTAAAGAAGTACAGGTTAGGTTGGGTTAAGTTAACGCCGCGACCCAATTACGAAATTTCGAATGCGGCTAATTTCGATCCCTGAGAGCTCGGTGTTTGTTCAGAAGTGCGAGCCAAAATGCTTCCATATTAGCCTCGCGAAGGTTGGACAGTCTAAAAAAAGTATGGAGATGATTCCACTTCAACTTTCTCTTGACAGCTGATACAAAAGAATCAGTCGAAATTCCTAGTCTCACCGCATGAATACCAATTGCACAATGGCTTATCAGAACCTCCATCACTGTTTTAAAGTGCTCTTTAAAAACAGTTGCTGCAGCAGAGAAGCGTCTTCTTTTGCTTTTACATTTCACAAAAGGACCCGGTTTCCTTAGACTAATAGCAGTACGTGCTGCGACAATTCTGTCTGCAATATCCGCAGGCGCCGTTTGCAACAAATGTTCGTAGGTGTGGTTCCTAATGCTCCGATAATTCCTGTTTTACAAGTGAAGCCTTCCCTTGTAAGTTCCACAAGACAAAGGCTCCTTAAAACAATATAGGCTTAAATCTGGTTTCCTAGAGCTAATGGATTAATTTATGCGAGAAACCCCACCTTTTGCCGGCAGCTCTCCTAGAGCACTACAAGGCAACCGACACCTTTCCTACCCTTTCCTCAATGTTAGGCTTCAGCTAACCTTGATCCAGATCAAAAGGGTGTATAAAAGTCGGCCCTTAACCAAAAGTTCCACGTCATCTATATAGGCGAGTCACGAGGAATCGCGTTTCTTATGTACAGGTCTATCAGTCTTTCAAGCGTTTTTAGGAAAAACAAGGAGACTGATAGGCCTAATAACCTTAGGGGAAACATGAGAGCATATTCCGGCCTTCGTGATGAACGCAACACTACAAGCCTTGGGGATGTACCCGGACCTCACGCAGTTCGCATAAATAGGGTCCAACCAATTGCACGATACCTTCAGAGCCCTTTGCAGCCGCGCAAGTATGATGCCATCGGTCCCCGGCGACTTTAATGGTTTGATTGTCCAGAAGATCGGAGAAGTACAGGACCTGGGACTAGATTCTGTAACCAGTTAGCGACAATTTTCGAATCGCTATCGCACTTTTTGACGCAAATATATTTTTATCATGCGTCAAAAAGTGCGATAGTGATCCGAAAATTGTACAAAATCTCCCTCCTGAAGCAAAAAATATCGCAAAGAAGTACATTTGACTGACTGTACTTCGAAGTACGAAGTACAAGAGCGCAAAAAGAAGTACTGTATTTCCGAAAGAAGTACGGTTGGTCACATTATGTATACCAAACCGTTAAAGTTGGAAATCATGTTGAACCTATTCTACTAATCGCTTACGTTTTTGCTAAGTGTTTGACCGAGCTTTTGCTGCAATTTATTGCTGCCCTCTTAAGGGTCAATGTTTTTTAAATGAGATGCTTTGTTTATGATTTCGAGATGTTGAGCGCACTAGAGATCAAGCCTGATGAAAGGGGTTTAAGAACAACACACATTTTTCGCTTTTGCTCTCATATCGATGGCTGAGTGGAAGATCGACCTATCTCGGCAGCCAATTCGAAAACGCTCTATCTCAAAAAACTTTTCATGAACGCCCTATTTCAGAATTCGTTTCAAAAACGCCCTATCTCAGCTGCCGATTCAAAAACGCCCTATATCAGCATATTTTCAATATATTTTGAAGTGGGATAGGGCGTTTTTGAACCGAATTTTGAGATAGGATGTTTTTCAATTAAATTCTGAAGAGTTTTTTGAGATAGAGCGTTTTCGAACTGGCTGCCGAGATAGGTCGATCTTCCACTCAGCCATCGATATGTAGTTATGTGCAATGAATTTATGATTTTCGATTAAAATTTTATTAGGTTTTCGTCTCCAATCAACAAAGTGCATGGCTATCGTGGAGATGTGGAAGAAGTTACAACATTCGAATGTGGTACAACTGCGTGAAGTATTCACGACAAAAGCATTTGGTGATAATTGTACGTGGTATTGTTGAAATATGCATGGATTTTCTTTTCAAATGCGAGATAAAAATTTATGTTTTTTATTTTTTTTTTCAAATCTCCAGCGTTAGTATTAGTTTATGATTATCATCCCGGCTCACACACCTTGCTTACAAAGTACTTTACGCCCACACAGGAGCCCAATGGCTATCCCGATCCATTCCAAGGCGATGCGCGCCCATTCAGGTATGTATGTATCATTGTTAATGAAAAAGATAAATTGCGTCAGACCATTTCAATCGTTTATCTGCAATCGAGTCGAGTAGTGAAGGTTATCGAGTCAAACACACAAAAGCTTATTTGTATGGATCTCTCTGCATCTTGTAATAGGCAAAGTTTTGAAAGAGTACTTAATGGGAAAATCGGTGAAAGAGAGTATGAATCGTTGTTGTTGTATCGTGCTGGTGATGTATTTTGCAGCATCTTACCCAACCATTAAAGTATTCGTGTGTAAAAAATAGAATAGTTTTCGGAAGAAAATGATTGGCGCCTTGATCATAATAGAGGTATTTTCTATGCTTATCAGGTATGTTCTGTGTATCGCATGATTTGAAATCGGTACGATTTGCTAAATATTGATCGTTATTTCCGATGAATAGATCGAATATTGTATATAAAACCTATAACAGAAACATCAGCGATGTTATATCAGCCGTTTCAATACCAAATTCTGAGTTTTCTAATTAAATATCTATAAAAATATTTCCAAAATCGTACCGATTTCAAATCGTACGAACTTCCCTGTATATGTTAATGGAACCTAATTACATACGTATATTTACACACTAGGGTGATTTACTCGGATTTTTCAAACCGGTTTTATTCGGGTTCAAACATTTATGGGCGGTTTCGATTATCGAATAAACCGGCTTTTCATCTAAAATATTTATACAACAACATTTCAAAATTCCCTGCAAATTCAGTACATTTGTTTTTTTTTGGTTGAAAGCGCAAACATAATTTTTTTTACCAATCGTGCTCTTAAATACAATCAAGTCAAGTACCCTTCGAAAAATTTTTTTGGTAAACGTATGTTTTTCATATTGCCGCAAATCACTTAAGCAAAAATTCGGCTATGTTAGAAAATGAGAAGCTTTGTAGACTAAGTTTATTTATTTAGATATGCGTTCATTTAAAGTATCTGCATATTTACCATATGGATTTTTTTAAGTGATTTTTCTTAAAAACACATCTTCTGAGGCACTGTAGCGAAAAGCTACAACTAAGGAAAAAATCCGTTGATCCCAGAACTTTTAAATATTTATTGGATCTAATGTTTAATTTCAATAGTTTTATTCCATTTTTGGCTTTAATTTTTGACTAACTGTAAGCGTTATCTAAACGCGAAAAATGAAAGGCAAATATACAGTCTAGCCGGTTTTTTTCTGAATTTGAAAATTAAGAACTGGTTTTACCCAATTGCCTTTTTTCGAATAACTCGAAACCCGGTTTTGAGAAAATGTCGAATAATGCAACACCTTAGTATATATTACATATGTACATCCATACAACTTTTAAATTCACATTTGAATAAAAGTGGGTCATTAATTAGTCTGTTCGAATAGCAGTCCGGTTTGCAGCATTTAGTCAGAACTTACAGGAAGTCGTTCCTATCGGCATAAAACCTGTAAGTGGGAACACTTTTGAGAGAGTAACTGAGCGACTGTTCCTAGCCAGAAGTTACAGGATTTAGTCCGGACTTCTTTTTCCTGTAAGTGTCAAACGATCAGCTGATTTGCATGTCCAAACAAAAATAGAAAGCGGTGTAAGCAAAAAACCTTATATTTGTAGAAAAATGGAAGTAAAAAACGAAATATTTGAATATGTATAGATTTTAATAATTAGTTAGTGATATTTCAGCCAAATCAGAGTTGTACAAATGACATGTAAACAAACCGACTGACGTTTTTACTGGAAATAGTGCTCTTTGCGTTCCCGTGCACTTCTGCATCTCTAAAATTGTAAAATTGTAGTTTGACAGTTCCACAGGTTTTAGTCCGAAGTTCAAAGGAACAGACTAATTTCTTGTATCTTGAATAAGGCCAACAATATCACGTGAGTCAGCTGTTGTGTCAGTGTTTTCTGTGAGAGTAATTTCTTTTACGCTCTAGTTCCGAGTTTCACAATTTTTAACAAAAAATAAATTTCATTAAAACTATCTTAAATGGCTTTTATTTACGTGTCATATTTATGTATGTCTTTTATTTTAGGTGCCACTGTTGAGGAAATTTATAAAAATAGTGCCTAAGGTATGCCGCCATTTATTGTAAAATCAAGTACAAACCACGCAGCCATGCCCACACGTGTTAACTAACCTCTCTGCAAACCATGTTCCCAAAATCTTAGCGAAATAGTATCGCAAGGTGTGTGACTATTTCAGAAATGGTATTTCTTTAAGAAACGTCAAAGAAAATCATATGAAGTGGTTGACACGAACTCTTAAAGAAATTTCTGTACAGTTTCTTAAAATTCTTTAGAAATTCTTCACATGGCAGCATTATTCTCATTTCTTTACCGATTTTTTTCCCCCGAAATTTCGTAAAAGAATCGGAAGTGTGCACAGTACATATGTACATTTAATTGTAGAAAAATCGAAAAGGAAAATAATGATTTCTTTAAGATTTCTCTACTATTCAGATTACTCTGAAAGCATGTTGCGCTGCAAGGCTAACACATTTATCTATAGATAGAAATCGTTAAAGCAAATGTGAACGCACTTGATTTATGTGAAGTAATTTGAACGAAACTAAGTAATTTACGTTGATTTCAACCTGATTTACGAATGAATCGTAAACTACGATAGTGTGAGCATGATTTTATTCATAAAAAAATAAAATAGATTTAAAGAGCTTTAGTTATAAAGTGACAATTTCATATAAATTTTCGATCTATAACGCAGTTAAAGACTTCTTTTTATTTTTTATGAATTTTTGTGCGAGAAATTTGAGTTGTAATATGAGCATAGTCTAAGGAATTTTGTTGACCCAGCTGGCTTTTTTATCAATTTTTTCGCGTCCATAACATTTAGGAAAAAATTCAGTAAAATAATCTTCGAAGTATTTTTCTGCCAGTATTAATATAGCATTAGGTTTTGGGCAAAATTCGGGCCCAATCAAGGGATCGCATGCTTGCGTATGTCCATACAGCATTGGACTTATCTATAGCACCCCATTTTTCCGAGTACACAGTTTTATAGCCCATTTAATTTTAGTCTTATAATGTGCAAGTTATGGCAAATGGCTAAAAATTACCGTTGATTTTTTGAATTTTTTTTTTATCGCATTTGCTTTCATATCAAAAATCAACGGCAATTTTCATCCACTTGACCCTTGCACGTTTTCAGACTGAAAAAAAAATCCAGCACTTCTGAAAAAAAAGTTTGAAATTTACAGGTCTATTCTGCGCGGGTAATAAAAATTTCGTAACCGGTAAATAAAGTTCCCGTCAACTTTTAAACCTTTTTCGCATTCTGTGTACTCTTATGACCAGTAACTTTTTGTACCATCTCATAAGCTGGCAACAAAATATTGTCCCGTGAAATATGCAATGGCAGAATTTCCACTAATCTTCGTAGCTGAATTGCAGAATATTTTAAACTACATTACCAACCTACCTAGAATCGCGGTGAGAGGAACTGGTAACATTTTTTGGTAATAAAATTTTCCGGTTACAAAATCTTCAGTAACGTGCAGAATAGACCTGTTGGGTGATAATTTGTTGAATTTTTTTGTAGTCTTATAAAAAGTATTAAAATTGGGTTTATATGAGGTTTGTTAGAGAATGAACTGAATTTTAATTGAAAATTCTTAAAAATAAATGATTAAACAAAAGTGACAAACAATATCACAATCGTAACAATCGTGGTACAAAGCTCAATAAAAATAAAATGTTAATAAGCCACAATAACATTGACAAATACATAGTTTAGGAAGAGCCTGCCTGAAACTATACAATACAGCAAATAAGAAAATGGATGTATAGAAATGACAACAACAACAAGCACGCTGTCAAGTTTAAATAGCGGAAAATCAGCTGTACTTGATAGTAGTTGGTTGAATAAGGAAAATGAATTAGCAACAAGAGTTTACGGGGGGTGTACATAGCTCAGTGGTTAACGCTTCTGACTTTGCACATCGATTTCGCAGGTTCGATCCCTGCTGAAGTCTAGAAAAAAAGAAGTCTGATGAGGAGATGTGGTGATCTCCGAAATAGCTGCTATAACTTCTACCGCTTAGACTTTGTTGCTTTTCAAGTTTTCCTAATAAACAATCGTGGTAGAAAGCTCAATAAAAATATTAAACATAAAATATCACTTTGAAATGGGCGTGCTATAGATATGTCCAATACTGTACATATTTACATATAGGAATAACATCGATTTGCCTCTCTTGCAGCCACAAGAGCAACTTGCAACGCAACAATAACGGACCATTGCTACCCGAAGCAACTATTTGGTCAATTATCATGCAATTGACCGCTGGTTTACGTGCAATCCATCAAGCAGGACTCGCCTGCAAGTGAGTTGATGATAAGAAGTATTTTATTTTGTTTGTTTTTAATTAGAAATTGAAATTCGCAATTCCGAAAGGGTCTTGGATCCAACGAAAGTACTGGTGACCGGCAAGCGGATGCGTCTGAGTTTTTGTGGCACAAGCGACATTGCACAATTCGATCCCAATGCAGCGAATCCTCTAGCGGTGGCTAGCATGCATCAGCAAGTAAGGCAGCCATTCATTCAATGCTAAAGTGGCTTTGCGACAATACGTGTCCACCAATGACACATTATGAACTCGAATATTAAATGTTGTATTTGCAGGATGATTTGACTGCGTTGGGTCGGCTGGTATTGGCTTTAGCTTGTCGATGTTTACAATCGGTGCAGAGAGAAAATGTCCAAAGCAGCATTGAAATGGTATCACGTCACTACTCCAATGACTTGCGTAATTTCATCGTGTAAGTTACAAAGCCGACCAATTAAGCGTATTAAGTTTCTGACTTAATTACTTAACCACAGCTATCTATTTTCGACGACGCAACGACGCTCAGTAACAGATCTTATGCCAATGATTGGTGCACGTTTCTACACACAAATGGACGCATTACAAAGCCTCTGCGACATGCAGGAAGACGAATTAGCTAAAGAGATGGAGAATGGCCGCTTATATAGAATTTTGGTGAAATTAAACTGCATAAATGAAAGACCTGAGTACGTACATGAATTAACCATTAACCATTTCTTGACATTTTTTGTTATGTCGAAGTGAAACTTCTTTAGCGGCGGTAGTGAGCTAAAAAAAAATCGTCCCGAAAAACTGAACCTTGCGCTGCAACGGAAGTGCATCCCTCTCCTCTCCCTGTCTTGTCGCCTATATTAACATTGACAGTAAGTTATCGAAACGTGCTCACTCGCGGTTAAGGAGAACAATTGAGATTAGAATTAGATTAAGATTATAGTTACAATCAACATAAAGATTAGAATTGAAGTTTAGATTATATACAATTTAGGTTGATATTAGCATGAATCAAGAATAATATTACGCTTAAAATTAAGGTTAAGATTTAGATTAAGGTGAAGGGTTAAGGTTAGGATTAAATGAAGATTAGTATTATGGCTAAGGTTAGTATTAAAATAGGAATTAGATCTAAGATTTAAATTAAGGCTAGGTTTCAGTAGTTTGAAACGAAAAAGAAATAAATCGAAAGAAGTTTCACTTCGGTTATGTGGCCGTGTGTTTTTTACAAATTTACAACACTAATGGAAAGTAACAATATATAATTTCCATTTCTGATAAATTTAAATTTCTATTTTAGTTTTAATATGGATTGCACTTGGTCAGAAACTGGTGATAGATACATGCTGAAATTGTTTCGTGATTATTTGTTTCATTCCGTCACAGAAGATGGTCGTCCTTGGCTGGATCACGCACATATCGTACTCTGTTTAAATAAATTGGATGCCGGCGCATTAGAACGAGTAGTTTTTTACTTTTATGAATAATAATAATAATAATAATAATATAATAATAATTGTTATCACCATCAATTGTTTGCAGGTTCAGTTGATGTCCCGCGACGAACAATCTGTCTTGATCGTTACGTATGCCGAACTCAAGAATTGTCTTGAAAATGCATTTTCCGAGCTAATGGTAACTCCAACATAATAATTTCCATACACTGCTGGCACCTGCGCTGTCAGTGCCATCACCTAAGGCACCTCCAACAAATTCCACCATTGGCATAAATAGCAAATATACTTGTTTACATTAACAGTAACATTAAAAATTGTTGTAACTGAAAGTGCTGTTACATGTTAAAACCGCCGTCTGTTATGAGGGGAAATTAAGCACGAACGAGCATATTTGTAAACCAGAAGTAGCCACGCTTTTTATCCACAAATGAAATCCGTCGAACCATCGATCATATACATACATATGTATTTCCTCTCCCATATTCCGTACTACATATACATACATATATTTATCGATCACTGAGACATACATAATTATTAAGCTAAAAAGATTTTAATGTGGAAACATAGAAAAATATAAAACGAAAGAAATTGAAATGTAAACAAAGAGCTTTTTAAAAGTCTTTAATGAACCAGAAAACACAAGCGAATAAGAACGGGAGCAAGTCATTTTTGAAATGGTGTTTGGCGCTATCTATTGAATACTAATAAGATGTTTTGTTGTTATTGTACAAAAAGGAATGGCGGAGTATATTGTCTATTTTTACAAAAAAACAAAAAAATGAAAAGAAAATACAAAATTAAACGGGTGTTGAAGTTGAAACCAACAACAAACAAGTAAATAAAAATGGGAAGTTGGAGCGAAAACATGGGGACTAACTAGTACAGCCCAGAGCCCAGAAAAGTTAAACACAAAAAATACAAAAAGTGCGCGTATAAACTGTTAAGTGGTAGTACAAGATTGTTTGTAACGGCTAAAGCGGCGGGATGAGTAGCGCGCAACTCCAGCATCTCGCTATTCAAAAACCGACAATTTTTTGCTCATTGAACTGTTTGGCAAATTAACAGAGACTTGATATTTTCTATTAATCGTTTTTGTTCAATTCATATTAAATATAATTGTATTATTTCATTATATTGCTATACAGGCTTCTTATGAACGCGGTGTTAAATTGAGGATTCCTCCTAGCATTGATTTAAATTATGTAAATGCAATGGAACGAATTTTTACTAAGTTAAAATTTTATTTTTGGTATTGTTAAATTTTTTTTGCGATCAAATATTTATGTATTTTGCACGTTCCATTTTTCTCTATAATTAAGGGATTTCATCAATTATAGCGATATCATGAAAGTATCCATAAATTGTTTTTCAAAATTATCGACACATCTACGTACATACCTGTTCAATCATCAACGGGTCATTAAACATACCGTTAACAAACCATCAAGAAGCCCAACTTATTTCGTCTACAAGCAAATTAAGTAATTTTAAATTATTGTACTTGAATAAGACTTACATTTAAAAAAAAAAATATATATTACAAAAATTAAAAAAAAAACAAGCACATTTGCTTTTGGAACACTTTGAAAACGAACTTACCAGGCTACAGGACATTAATTTTTTATCTCTATTCTAAATATAAACGCTTCTCGACAGCGATATGATTATCTTAGGGTTGCCAGACGTACCCCAATTGGGGGGACATATCCCATTTTCACTTTTTGTCCCCCTTGCTGCGGAAGGTTGCGCAGGTACCCCATTTTCGCCCGAGACCGTTCACTTTTCGCTTAAAGCATGTTTGCATTGTTCAACTTTCACAGTTTTTATTTGAAAATGTTCTTATGCCATATTTAAGGCTGAATATGTATACATATATCTGTGGTCGTAAGCAATAACCGCCCAAGTCGAAAAACCTGAATTCGAGATAAAACGTTTTCAACATTTGGATTGTAATGTTAACCTTATAGGGAACCCAAAATATGTTCGTCCATGGCTTTTTAATAGCCTAGCTGGTGAGATGGGCATTTCACCTACACATGGAATAGTAGTTGCAGAATACGATAACATATATAACTCAATACTTTTAAGTCGACTTAGGCGGTTAGTGCTTATGACCACAGCTATACATATCTATGTGTATATTTTTTATGTATACATACTCTGGCAATCAAAACAGCGTGTATGGCATGACTTTTTCCAATATCTATTATGTTTTTCGAGTTAATGTGTTCGTTATTTTTTTATAAAAATGTTTTTCATGCTTTAAGCAAAACCATATACATTAGCGTGGACCGAAAATCCGCTTTTTTAGAATTTTGATCGGTAATAAAAAAAAATATGGTTCGTTATGCTCTCAAAACAATCTGTGTGAAAGATTACAATTTTTGGTCAATATCTTAGGCACGCCCAAAACAAACAAACTTGCAAACTTAATACAATACACTTATTTTCCTAAAATTTCATGAGCCATGTAACCGCATATTCAAGAGTTCAGATGAAAATTCCAAAATTTTGATGGAAATTTATTGCATTTTTCTAGAGTTTGTATTAAGTTTGAAAGTTTGAATTAATTTTACGGTTTTGGCTAAAGCATGAAACATATTTTTATAAAAAAAAATAACCAAAAAAATTAGCTTGAAAAACATTAGTGGTATTCACCAAAGTCGGCAAGTGGCCTGGCAGTGTTGTGAACAGTCGTTGCTTGAGCACATCTGCTCTTTTGCCATAGTTCCAAGCCACTTGCTCAATTTGGTGAATACTACTATTGTAAATATTTAAAATAAAATCACCATGTACTCAGTTTCGATCGCCAGTGTAATTTGTTTTGTTTTAATGATAGTGAATTTTTATTTATGAACCGTTTTATTGTTCCATAAGCGAATAAATCAATTTTTTGTTGAATACATTTAGCTTTATTTGTCCCTCGAAAAATACCGCTTTTTCTTTATTAGTTGTACCCCAATTTGTTTATATCTGTACTCTTTTCAGCATTTTAGGTCTGGCAACCCTAGATTATCTGCACATGTAGGAGTACGTATTTAAATAATTTGACAGCTGTGGCCCGTGAATCGTCGTTTTCAAAGTGTTCCGAGCTATTTTTTTTTTTTTAGATTGGCGCTTAGCGTTTGGCCGAGCTTCTCCTCCGACTCGTGGAACCAATATAACCTAACCTAACCTTTTTTTGTATCCGTCAACGGCTGTGTACGTTTGATGAATTTTGGGCTTGGGTTCGTTGGAACATGTCTCTGAAATAAAAGGTGTATTCCACCAGAATGCCAATACTTCATTATGCCTCGCATATTCCTGAAGAAATCGGTGATAAGAGAAGAAGTGATGATAAAAGAAACCAAAGGCTATAACTCTTACAACAAATACAAAGTTGGAGCAATGGATCAAAAACTTTGTAGATGTAGTTACAAAAAGGTTAGCTTCGGCATTTTTATATCCCAGCGCACTTGTGCACAAGGGTATTATAACTTTGTTCACATAACGGTTGTTTGTAACAGGCAAAACGAATCGAGATAGATATAGACAAATGAATACATAAATGATCAGAATGAAAAGAGAAATCGATTAAGCGGTGACTGCCTGTCTGTCCGTCCGTCCGTCTGTGCACACGATAACTTGAGTAAAAATTGAGATATCTTAACGAAACTTGGTACGTGCACTTAATTCGGACGTAGGACGGATGGTATTGAAAATGGACAAAATCGGACAATAACCACGCCCACCTCCCATGTAACGGTTATTTTCAGAAATACGAAAACAGCGATATTTTAGTAACTGCTGAAGATTATTCACTCAAAATTTATATTTACAATAATAACGATTTAGACGATTTTTTTACCACCATCAAAATTGATGCTTGCAATAATTGAGAAAGCTTCTATTGAAGAGCAAGCTCACCAGGATATTTTGCAATGCTTTGGGGAAATCACCAACGGCTCTGATGCTGATTCCAGTGGCAAACACTACAGATCCAGGGCCCGGGATTTTGTTCTATGCCGGCGCGGACCAGTAGTATACGGAGCAGACTTGCCGGTGGGTCATGCTCCCATGGCAAAAATTTTGGGGGGTTGCTGCTGTGGTGATGGTCCTTGGTCGGAGTGTGTTCTCCGAGTCAATCCGGTACGTAGAACCGACCATCTTGGGCGGTCGACCGCCGCCCATAGACCCAGAAGAAATAGAGCTGCCGAGAGAGACCAGGTGCACCCTAGCACAACTCCGTTCTGGGTGGTGTCACCGACTCAACAGCTACCTCTCTCGGCTGAACACACAAGTGGCAAACACATGCCCTGCATGTGGGCAAGGTCCTCACGACACCCAGCACCTCTTCACGTGCACCTCCAACCCTACGACCCTGACACCAGAAGCGCTCTGGACCGCGCCTATCGACGCAGCCCGCTTTCTCGGCCTCAGGCTCACAGAGTCGGAGGATGAAGACGACGACACATGACAAATCTGGGGGGTTGAGCACTGCTGCTACAACAACAACAACATGCTGATTCCAGTTTTTTAGTGATGTTGATAGCCAAACGATGGATAGAGAAAGCAGCGACCGTACAAGAAAAAAGGTAGGAATTTAGAAATGGTGCTCCGGGCACAATATACCTATTGGTCGCAATACTTACCCCTACTCATCTATCTAGAAATGGAGAAATATTTACAGCTACCCCTTATACTCAGACAAGAAGATCCTTTAATTTGGTGGAAGCATAGTCGCAAAGAATTTCCAAATTTGTTTACTCTGGCAATGAATTATCTCTGCACGCCACCTTCCTCAGCATTAATGTTGAAAATAGAAATAGGTGTTGGCCGATAATGAGGAAATGCTTCTTTTCATAATGAAAAATATATACATTTTTAGCTATAATGGTTAATTATATACATAATATTAAATTTAATTACAATTTAGAATTTAGCCAGTATCCGGCCGGATAGTCGGATAACAGAAAAACGGCCGGATAAGCCGGGTTCCGAATATCTACCTGATACCCGGCACATCCCTACTTCCAACAATTTGCCAGTAAGAAAAACAGTTGATCGCTTGATGATGAAAGCAATTCAAACTAATAAAGGAATTATTTATGGGGTTCTTACAGTTGAAATTGATAAAATAAACTAATTTAACTATATGGATAACAACATAGGACATACCATTTTTATTCGAAAATTGCTGTGAATAAACAGCAAATTTGGTTTGGAGACAAACCGGTGCCGGTGTTGCCCAGTGATGCCAACCGGGGACAATTCCCCGATTTTGATGGAATTTGATTTTCTCGGAGGAATCGGGTAAAGGCTTTAAATTTCTGGGGAATTCAAAAAACAAACGATTTTTATTAGAACATTTCTATTGAGAATAAAATTCAAACTTGTAATAATAACTAATCTCTCATTACGCTGTTACGGATTTAAAACACAACGTAATTGCCATGCAAACGTGTAGTTATTAAAGAAACTGCAACCGTGTATAGCTACTCTTCATTTGAAGTTTATATTTCACACCATCCAGTTCCAAAAAATTTAGGTATTTGCTAATTTTATTCGCCGTATAAGATAAATACACATAATTACATAATGGGCATTTTTGACACGTTTAGACAAATTTTTGACACTTGTGAGAGAGTAACTTACTTTTAGGGCCAGTTTTTCAGGGCACGGCCTGGGTTACCATTATGATATGCATACGCATATAATAACCTTTTAGCACACCTATTTAGGCAAATAAAATGGTTCCACAGTTTTCATTTATTAAAATTTTGAAATTATTTTCTGCAAATTTAATAAAATTGAAAATATTAACACATGTTTTAGCGTTATCACGTACTCAATAGGTCATCACAAAAATAATAGCAATTGTCACCGTTAGAGCTTTCAAATTGCTCTCTGCATACCTTAACGTGACAATTGATTACGAACATGAAAATTGTTATAGCGGCGAGTTTTGTCATTGCACGCGAATAAGGATGTTATCATGTCGTAATAGCTTTCATATCATAATAGTATCCATTGCAGAATATTAATCATGGAAGAAATAATTATTATGTGGGCGGCTATTGTTGTGGAGCAAGAAGAAGTTATACAGAGAAGACTTCTGAGGGAACTCCGAGACAACAGTTATTTTGAACAGCTCCTATTTTCACTTCACGTCAAATTAATGATGCATTTATACTTGTTTTCTAACTGATGTGAGAAATAAAAAGCCGATTTGAAAACAAAATCAAGTCAATACACATTTTAATTTCAACGCGTTTTGAAATTTAGTTTATGCATCCGTTTTGAATCACAGCGAACTGGGTGAAAGCGCTTTATGTGTCGGTATAAACAAGGTAGTAAATATGCTTTACCAAATATACTCAGAAGTATTAGTTTTATATATATTATTAAAAAGGTTGTCCTTATTATCTCAATATATTCAAGATACTTCTTGTTTTTTTTTGTTGCTTGTCTTGTTTTATAGTTTTTTGGGGGAATACCATTGAAAATAGGGGTATTTTTTCAGGAATTTTGGGGAATTCGCCTCAAACGAGTTGGCGTCGCTGGTTATGCGTTTTGCAAAACTGCCACTGGAACAACTTTTTGAGAAACTTTACCTCACCGCACTGCCTCTCTTGCCTACAAACACAGTTGTTCTGGTGACAGAAATGTTCCAGTGTGAAACTGACCTTTGAGAAGAGATGATGGAGAATCGTTCCATAATACATCATACTTCTACGCTGTTGGAAACACCAACAACGAAAATGAGAACAAATTTATCAGCTGTTCATGAAACTCGCAAATTCTTACTTGTATTTGGATATTTTTCTCTTTTTTATGGCGAATGTTTTCGAACTCTCGGAAATTAATGGCGATTTCGCTTATTCCAAGAAAATTTTGCCCTTCCACGATGCAAAATATGTTTGCTGTTACACTCAATCCTGTGAAAGGGCATGTTTTTGCCTCCTTGTCCTTGTTTAGCTCACGCCTTTCAATAATATTGTCGTTTAAAGCAACCTTCTCCCCTGACAAAGCTTCAAAGGGCAGAGAATGTGTCATTTTAAGAAACGAACACAAAATTTTCTTCTCAATTTCGTTGTTGGTGTTTCCGACAGGGTAGGAGTGTGATGTAATGTGGAACGATTTTCCGTCATCCCTTGTCCCAAATTTGGTTTGGAGACAAACCGGTTTCGGCGTTGTGCCATCTTTAGTGTAATTTTTCGTTCTGAATAGTTTCTGTTTGTCTGTCTGTTAGGTTCGTCTCAGCGGATTATATTCTTTCGTTCAACCAGTAGTTTCAGTTTTGTGTGTACATCCTAGGGTTGCCAGATTTTGAAACGGAGAAAGGAGTACATTTATATTTTCGATAGAAAAAAGCAGGACATGGCATAAAAAAGGAGTACAACAAACAAAGATATCTTTGAAATCTTTTTCAAAGCAGCAATAAATGTGAAAAATAAATAGCTATATGGGTTGGCTTTCCAATAGGGACGGTGGTTAAAGAGATGGTCATCGAAGGGGGAGTGGACGTGGCATCTTTTCCGACCTTTTTGGAGAGGGCATGAACCACCATTGTCAAACATGTTACTCCCGACCACCTAGAGCCCCTATGGGTCCCCAGGAACCCCTTAGAAAAATTGCCAAAAGTCACAATTTTCACTTGCGTCCACAGTATTTTTGCGTAGAACTCGGTTCTCAATGACCGCCCTATAGGAAAGTTTCCCCAACTAATAAAATAAAAACCACAAAAGAATTCCAGACTCTTCCTGAATGTATGGTAATTGTTTTTAATTTAAGCCTTATAATTAATTTAATTTTTTTCTGATTTTTATACCCCAGCGCCCTGCCCCTAAGGCCATGCTTACACCTTTTCACTATCACACTTAACTTTGCTTACTAAGTAGTGTTTGCACCATATGAATGGCAAAGTACAGTGCGTACAATAATAACTGTCGCACAGGTTTTTTGAAAAATAAAAGGGTTCTTTATAGATTTTGTGTTTTTTTTGTTAACTTTGTAAATATTTTACTTTAATTTTATTAATTGGTTTTAAAATTTTAATCCTGATTTGCATTTGCCAGCTTTGGGAGATAAGTACATGCGGCACGAACCTCTTTTTTAGGTGTATTTTTTCTTAGATTTTGTATAAAAAAAAAGAAAAAAAAAACCTGTATAGGTTTGGTCGAATGAATGCCCCCCTAGTCACCAGTTTCGAGTCCTTTCGAATGCTGAGTATGGGGCCTTATGTTGGACAAAAGACGGAGTATAAAGGACCCAAATGGGGGAAAATAGCCTATGGTTACAGAAGATATGTAATAAAGTAACCGACGAAGACATGCGCTTTTCTCCCAAAGTGTTTACCGCCGGTAAACCCAAATGAAGGTTAAAATTTAAAAACAAATTAATAAAATTGAAGTAAAATCTGTGGATAATTAACAATAAACTACTTTTTAGCAAAACTATAAAAAAAACTGTGCAACAGATATTATATGACAAAATATTTGGGGTGTTCACAGTTCGTTCCAAATTGTGTCTGAAAATGTAGACGTCTACATTTTGAGACATCTTTAGCATCAAACTGTGAGCACCCCTTTCTAGCAGTCGTCACAAAATCGTCTCAAAACTTTGCTGGTGTTGCCAGACATTTCTTCCTTGCGTGCATTTTTTATGTCGCCTTTCGATTTTGTTTCCGAAAAATTGAAATTATTTAACTTAATTACCAATTCGTAATATTTGTTATTTCTTTTCCTTGATTTGTTTCTTTTCATCAGAAATTGCGCTCAAATTAAATGCAAATACAGAAAACGTGCCCAATAAATAAAAAAAAAATGTGATTAGTATTGCCATAATGCAACCCTGCTGCGAGGTTGCAAAATGTAGACGCGTAAAAAACATACCTTTGAGTGTGACAAAATGTAGACGGCGTCGTTTTCCAATTTTGTATGGGAAACAACAACACCACAGATTTTACGGTTAGAAAACGTCTTAAAATGTAGACGTCTACATTTTGAGACACTATTTGGAACGAACTGTGAACGCCCCAATTAATAGCTGGTAAAAGGACTACAAAAGAAGTACAAAGCTAATAAAGGAGTACATTTCCAGATATTTTTTTTTTTTTGAGTACAAGGGAGTACATTGCAATAAAAAGGAGTACGTTTACTCCCAAAAGCAGTACGTCTGGTAACCCTAGTACATCCTCAGGTAGAAATAAGCTGCTCACCTCTTTTTTGATTAATTCGAAAAATGACACTGAAGATGGCACAACGCCGAAACCGGTTTGTCTCCAAACCAAATTTGACAAGGGATGACGGAAAATCGTTCCACATTACATCACAAAATTTTCTCCCCGTTTGCCTTTGTTTTAGAATCGAAAACAAAAAAAAAAGTGGCCATCAAAAGGCAAGATTTTTTGGTAGACACGAAAACACCATAAGTTACTGGATAATTTATAAAATATTTGATTGTCATTCTCGTCATTCAAAATAATTTAAAAAAAATCACTGAGTAAATTTGTATCATTTATTAGAAAATGTTTTCATTGCGTAAAACATGCGTTTATAAAACTGTTTACAAACTATTGGTTATTTGAGCATTGTAAATAGTGCTCCTGCTTTTTTAAATACTACTCGGACGGAATAGTTTGAGTTTGAATTTAACCTAAAATTGTAATGTGAACTTACTATGCATGCGTATAAAAGTATAAATTTGTTTTTAAAAAGGCACTTTTTAAAAATTACGATATGTTGCCGTAAGTTTGTACTAATTCTTAATGTGATTCCTCTTATCGCGGAATTTAGTTGCTAGATTAATTGTGCAGTTTTTTATAGAAGTAGTATTCGAGTTTAGCAATTATTTTTAATGACATCAAAACTTTTCACACCGACCGTTTATTGCCTTGATTCACTTGAAAAAATACACGGCAGAAGTTTCCACATATTTGAGTCATGACAATAACGATTTCAGTATGAAGGAACCTTACCTAGGCGTAGCTGATCTCATGCTCATAGCTCTTTCCGTCCCATTCGTGATTATCGGGAAGCGCATGATGACGCAAACCACAAAGACGTGGTCCAAATCGTAAAATTACAATAATAACACCGATAATGAAGAGAGCAAGAGCAGCTACGGCTGGATAAAGCAAGATAAATGCCATTCTTTTTTTTCTTTTGCAAAAGTGCTTTAAATGTCTATTGTTAATTGGTTTTAAATGTCGCTTTCGCGCTTTTGTAGCTCTACGTATTCCTCTCGTTGTTGTTGTTGCTGCAAAGTGCGACCTTCAGGACGTGGTGGGCGCTGCTGTTGCAACTGATGCGAATGTGGTTCAATATGCGAAGAAGACTGATGTACGGGCACTTCCTGCGCTTCGATGTCTTCACGAAATATTTGTGGTTTTGGCTAAAAAATAAAAATAATGAAATATTAACTGAAAACGATGATGATTTGCTTTTTTGGCGAAGTTAAATAGTTTTAAACGATTTCATGACGCGCAACCAACAAAAAATTTGCCCGTAAACCTAAGATAAAACGCCTAATTAAAACAATACTACAAGTTTAGAGCAGATCTTACAATTTTAATGAATCATTTCATTTCACTTCTTTATTAAGTCTATGGTTACAAACCTTACAGACTGGAGGTACAACATCAGCTTAAAGATAAAGCTTACAAACTAAACTACATAATTAGAGATAATTGGATTCAAGCTTTGATAAAAATAAGGATCTAGGAAGAGCGAAATCTAAATCGAGGCTACTAAATATACTATTAAGCTCAGTAAGGGCGCTTATAATAGGGGCGAAATTAATTAATTAAGTTTTTTTTATTTTTATTTTCCACTGTAGTCCACTTAGAGAGTTCGAGTGGGGGAGCATAAGCGCCGTCAGCATCAGTTGATTATTTAAAGCAGAACCAGAAATAATTTGATCGTCAGCGGCATCACCATTTGAGACGAGAGCAGCAGCAGATAGAGCAGACGTGGATGGCAAAGAGAGAGCACCATCCGAAAGAGTACCAGTATCAACATCAGCTATTGAAGCAAGAGTACCAGCATCAACAACAACAAACACTTTCGGAGGAAGAGCGGTAGCAGAAGACATATCACCAGAGGGAGCATCAACTGCGGCAGCAACATCATTAGCTGGGCAGGTCTGGTTACCCAAAGGTTCAGTATGCAAACGGCCAGGCGAAGCAATGTCATTCGTGTTATAAGTAATATTTTTTTTTTGAGAACGAAGATTGTAGGCACTATTGGTAGACTTGGCAGTTGATTGTCGCTTACTCTCACGCGAACACGTATTTGGGCTGACAGCATTAGCTGGAATCGTTTGACAACTGTAACTACGCGAAAGCTCAGCGAATTTGCACTTCAACAATGTTAGCTCTTTGGATAAGAGAGAGATCATAGCAATGAGATTTGCTGATACTTTCAAGCAGTTATTGCAGATAAAAACAATGTTATTGCATTTGATTAAAATATCAGAAGAATCAAGAAATTCTAAATTTGCACAAGTTTTATGATATTTTGATTGGCAAAATTTACACGATACAGCAGATCCGATATTAATAAACCTGCTGTAATCCGAGCAGATATTGTTCTTTTGCGATAGCATAGTCAAAAAGATAATTAAAACGGAGCGAACAAAAACACGTCTGAGCGCACTGCTTATCACCAACTACGTATTCTTATGTAGATACATTATTTTGGCGACGGCAGAACTACACCACAACTGGGATTGTGGAACTGCTATTTCCAGATGTTAAATTTTAATGAATCATAGAACCAGATTTTTATTAAAATAGGACACTACTGTGCTATATACATGAAATGAAAAAATTAAATAAGACTGTTTTAAGAAATACATCGTTATTTTGCAATATGTAGTGCCGCTGCGATTCAGATTGGCGGCTTACAAAAGAACGATGTTGCTTGCATATGCAGATAATATCGACATCGTCGGTCTGAAACAAAGGGACTTAACCGCAGCATTTTCCAGTTTAGATAAAGAAACTAAAAAGGTTGGTCTAGCGGTGAATGCAGACAAGACAAAGTACCTCCTAGCAACATATAAAGAATCCAGACGTTGCGGGACACTGTTGGCAGCTATAACTTTGAAGGAGTGAAGGATTTTGTCTACCTGGCATCCAGTATAAACATCACCAACAACGTCAGCCTCGAAATCAAACGAAGAATAACTGTTGCCAACAGATGCTACTTTTGGGCTCGGTATACAATTGAAGAGTAGAGCCACCTCTCGACGAGCACAAATTACGCTCTACAAGTCTCTCGTCATACCCGTTCTTCTATATGGCACAGAAACGTGGACTATGTCTCCTGTTCGCGTATACGACGGATATACATATATAAGAGTAGATGGAGGATGTTTTCGTGCGCAGAACACGTATCCTCTGGGTAGCAATCAAACACCCGTTTGGGAGCGAGCTAAAGTGAGAAATCGTAAAACTTCGCGTGCGCTGGGTTTGGGTCCCGCCACGTTGAAAACGTTGAAAAAACGCTCCTGGTCTGAAAGTATTTAACGCGGGCCGCGATGCTGGTAACAGAGGAAGAGGCCTTCTCTGCGTTGGAAAGACCAGGTGGAGGACTTTGCTTCACTTGGCATTTCCAATTGTTGTTAGTTGGCACAGAGGAGAAATTACTGGCGTGCTGTTTTGGACTCGGCCAAAATCGCTTAGGCGGTTACAGCGCCAATAAAGAAAGAAGCAGATGGAATGACGAATACGAGTTTTTTAACGACAGAGACATGATTAGCACATAAAAATACAGCGATAACGATGGCTTGGAGACATGTTGTACACATTAATGACGACGCTCCGGTGAAAACATCCTTCGACTCCGCACCCATGGGTGGACAGCGAAAGCAAGGGCGCCCACGAACAAAATGGAAGGACCTGTCTGCACACGGGATGAGCAACTGGCTCAAATACGCACAGGAGAGAGGCAATTGGAGAAGCTTTTTGGGCTCTGCACAAACCGACAAACGATTGTAGTGCCAAATTAGAAGAAGAATTAAGAAATAAATAGGAGTATTTTAATAAGTTCACCCAGTACCAGCTCATTTTGTTTGTATGTGCGACACGTTGACTGTTTTTTGTTTTTTTTTAAGGTACAGCTATTTTAGGGAGTTCATTAGGGGTTTGTATACTGTCGTATAGTTGATATCGCAAAACCGCCTATCTTACGGCACTCAAATTTAACAAGAGAGCGAAAAAACTGTTTTTCTTTGCAGGCAGTGCCTTGATAGGCGCTATATTCTCAGCTACTATTTTATAAATCTGGTTTTTATAACGATTGTACGATTGATGCATAAATCTCGATGCCTGGAGTTCGGGGAAACCAAATCTCATTTTTTCCACAACGGCAATTTAGGCGGTTTTGCATCTGGTCGATGGGCTGTTTTGCAAAAACATCGACGATATGAAGGGCGTTCGCAAGGTATCATAAAGGTCATATTATGAATCTTTACAGTTTTAACAAATAGTTGCTTTTACTGTTTACTGCATACAACAATGGCGCAGTATCCCACTCGGAAAATATGTAAGCACCTTTCGACGTAATCCACGTTTTCTTTCAGCTTTTAGTACCACAATTATCAACATGATCAATGTCAACTACTAGTAAAGCACGAAATGAACACCTCGGATGACGTCTTACCTAGTTATGTCCTAGCGCCGAACTACTCCGAGAGACTGTTTTACATTCTACGTACCTTACTTTGTAAAGCGGCTCAGAAGTATGTGTGATACCAAATGTTCAAATGTAGTAAAATACAAAAAAAAAATTAACACATCCAATGAGCTGTTCGTGAGTGATGGGGTTATGAAAACATAAAATAACAAATTTTTGTATATTACAGACAGATAGGATTATGGCTTATTAAAATACACTTAGTAAAATTTTTAAGTTCGTAAGTGTTATTTTTTTAAGTTTTCTGAAGGGAAATAGTCTTATTCGATCGAAAAATAGTGTTGTTTAACGATTTTATAACAATTCTACGAAAATATGTATTTTCCCGTGTAAACTTTAAAGCACCGGCGGCACGGGTAAATATTAACCCAATTCAAAATAAGAAAATACGTGTCTCCTAATTGTTGATATTCTCTAGTTCTTGGGGGTGAGAGCAGGAAAAATCAAAATAGTTGATTTTCCTATGTATTGTGGGCCACCCTATGTGCATACATACATATCGTTACCTTAATTCAGGAGAAGCAATACTAATTTGGTTTAGATCCCATCATGAATCATGAACAAATAAACGGTAATCTTAAATTTTTATATGAGAATTGAAGTCGGTTTTGTTGCTTTTTCCATTTTTCCTAATAAAATAATCTTGGTACAAAGCTCAATAACAATTTTAAAGTCGGTTTTGTTTTTTGCTTAAAAATTTAAATTGTTGTTAAAAATAAAATCATGCATGCAGCTAAGAATTCTTAAAAAGTTGCATAGTTCCGTTGTTTTTGGTACGAACACTCAAATTTTTAGTGAAGGTTTAAAAACGCAGTTTTGAAGTGAAATTAGGTAACGATATGTGCATATGTGTAATCTTACTTAGGAGTTGTATAAAGTTAATAGGGCAATTCATCAAAACGCGTAAATGCCTCATAACCATGTAAACTTCGTAAACTTACTTCATTTTGTATGGGAAATTCGAACTATTTACGCGGTTACGTGGCATTGACGCGTTGCCATGAATACCCCTAACAAAAATGAAGAATCTATACACATATCGCACACCATCTTCAAAAGTGGCGCAACTCAAAATTTGGCATTTTGGAAATTATGCGGTAAAAATGTACACAGAGCTTGTATTTCCTTTTGAGCAAAAGCTAATTTTTTTTATAATTTGTCGAAGAAACCATACAAATAGTTTTTCGCATTTTCTGACGAACGCGTTATTTTGAGTTGTGTCACTTTTGAAGATCGTGTGCGATATGTATATATTTTTTTCCTTAATCGGGCGTTTCTCATGTTATACTGGCCCGCGTAACTACATACATACGTATCTATGATGTTAAACAAAGTTTATGGAACGTAAACTTACGTAGAATCGTTCGAAATATGAGGCGTCCTTTAGCTCAGTAAAATCCAAAGGGGGCTGCAAGTGTGGCGTAGCTGACCAAATGGAAACCAACCAGCGATTACCTGTTAAATCAATTTTCATTAATACTATTCGACATTGCTGAACAATTCAATTTATACCTGTATGTCTATCTTTCCAGTATTTACGGTGCTTTGAGCAACACCCAAAAATAATATTCACGAAGATGATGGAACCGACAACAACAGTACATATAGCAATGGTCACATAAAAGGGGGAAAAATTGCCATATATGTGTCCCGTGAAATAGGGATTCTTCTCGTAAGCCGTACGTTCTTCAATAGTTGACATGATCAGTGCGCTGCAGTAGGCACAGACTTAATTTTAGTACTGCTCAAATGTTCTGTAAATATCTTTGCAGTTGAGTTCAGAATTTGAAGAAAAATTCGATGCCCGAGGACTTCATTTAATAAATAGAAAAATATAACATATGTATATGTACTTTTATATATAAGTATGTAAATTCAATGACTATCACGTATGTATGTAGCTACGGAATTGGGTGTGGCGCCCTCTTAAATTATTCATTAAATTAAACTAAGTGATCTGCACATTCCATTTATTACTTGATGCCCTTTCCTATTTCATAGGTTCAATAATGCAAAAACATAATCAAATAAAGAGAATAATCGTTAACTCACATAATTAACTAAAAATTTATCAACGCCCTTTGAAATTGTACTCATTCAAAGATTTTAGGTAAACAGAAGCACTATATTAAGTTATCGGAAGGTACTAGTTTTTTTATGCCGATTGTTTCGTAATTGCCAATTTATCGATAACCATATATATAAACACGGTCCACACGGTTGTTTCGTGCAACTCTGTATAAAGTAAACCATTTAAATAGTAGTTGAAATTAAATTTATGCTAAGCTTTGTTATAAAATAAAGCTAAGATAACTTTTACAAGGCTGTTTGAGTCTTTAATTTTTATTCTTCAATGCTCATTATTTTCAAGAATTGACACATATAATAACAGGGTTGCATCGGGATAAACTCTGTTTGAACGGCACTGTCGTTTGCTGTTTGTTTGTTTACATTTTATGGGGAAAATTAGTGAACAAGTTAATATTTGCATAAAAATGAGTTTTTTTTGCATAAATCTGTGGAAATTATTAAAAAGTGGATATTTGCATTAAAATTCAATAAACGTGAGCGTTTTAACTATAAATTATGACGAAATTGTAAAAAGTCTCTGTGTGCATGCACAAAACACATTTCAGGAAAAGAGAAGAACAGATATTACTGAAAAATTATGTCTAGAATTGTTGCAGCACAGTCTATATTTAAAAAATCGCAGGTTTTTGTACATATTTCGCGAAAATATCAACCAGAATTTTTAGACGCCAAATGAATTGAAATATCACGACCGAGTGTGTGAAACTGTAGTCGTCATGTAATCGTTGCATCATGATTGTGACGTTGAAGCAATTTGATTGGACGACCAATGTGCAGAAATCCTTAGTCTCCATCACCGAATTCTTGTACGGGACCATACAAGGCGAATTTATACAAGGTGGTGTTGTAAAATCAGCTTATTTCAAGGCGAATTTATACAAGGTGGTGTTGTAAAATCAGCTGATTTCTTCGCCTTACATATATTTTGTTTTTGCTTTTACTGATTTGACAGCACACCCATCAAAAGCAAAAACAAAATACATGTAAACTTTGGAGCGAATTGAGATTTGACACAACACCCTCCATACAAACTACGTGTGGTTGTCGTTGTTGTAATCTAAATTCGCCAGTAAC